GCTGCGCGGGAAAATTCGATCAAACTAAGGAAAACGAAGCGCGAGACAACTCGACCAAACCAAAGAAAATGTCGATTGCATTGCACGTGGTGAAGGATGAGGGCTTAACAGGACAATCCACCTGCTTGGGCTGCGAGGAGCCCGGATGCCTCGTCGGTCCTCGTTTGCCATCAGAGCCGAGGTTGAGAGGGCCAGGAGATGCCCGTTGACGATGCAGGAGCGGGAGGCAACGTGCATTCATTCAAACAAGCAACGGATGCACAGTTATGTCAATGGGCGGCCAAGCGACGTGCCCGGCCAAGAATGGGGCCCCATTCGAGCGAATTCGGATGAGATTTAGCACCACAAGTACATCTGAAAGACCCGGAAGTAGTCAGCTTCGAGATCCGGGACACGAGGGCCAGAGCATCTCGAGTGGGAGAGGGCGACGAGTAATTGGTGAAGATTTCCACGGTGCACAAGTCCAGACTGGAGAGGGGGCTACTGTAGGGCTCTGGGCTGCGCAGCGGGGGCGAGAAAGGCGCGCGCGGAGGAAGGCTGGGCGCGCCGCGACCTGGATGCGCGCGCGGCAAGCCGCGCTTTCCAGGGACACAGAACTCCTTACAAGCATTTCAAACATGGGCGTCGGGAACCGATCGGATCGGCCTAGACGGAGGCAGGCGCGACGTTCGCAAGGAGCTGGACGAGCTACTGCCATTGCGCTGGCGAGCGCAGACTACCCTGCCAGCCCGGCACGCACAATCGCCGCTCGACGCAGGCGAACAAATGCGCGGGAAGAGGGCAGGAGGGAGGAGAAGCATGCGCGCGCGACCCCATGCGCATTGCATCTCATCGGGGGGGCGCACAGGAGGCGGCCCCGGCCAGATTGCCAACCGCGGGCCCAGGGAGGGCCTGCGCATCGGAGGAGAGAGAACGGATGGACTCGTCTGTTTACAGCACAGCGGAAGGCGCAACGCAATCGTGGTCCACAGTAATTGCGCTTGCCCGAACGCGTTTGACTGCGCGAAGAGCGTGCAGTTGAATGCGTCTGCCTGGGGATATGCCACGTAGGGCGATCAACCAACCCTTTGCCCCGCGTGCGATCCACGATCGCATTGCAGGCAGGCGCCGCGCTGGCGGGCGGCTGCATGCTGCCGCCGCGCAGGGGCGCGACTGGGATGTGACGGCGCGTCCTGGACAGTTCTACGCGCGTGCAATTCTTTCACCAGCAGATGGTTGCATAGTGACAGGCGAGCAGGCAGCAATCCAAACTTAGAACGGCGCAACCCACCAGATTGTGGAGGTGGAGAATAGTGGGCTTCGCTGCGAATGCTCTCATGGACGCCGTTGCACGGTTCCGCGCGGTGCCACGCGGACTACAGATGAACCAGGACACACCTCGATGAAACCACGAAAACGTCAATCGAGCACTGAATGGTGGAGGGTGGGGTGTTAACCACAACAAGAAAACAATAACCTGGCGAAAGAACCAACCGCGCGCCGCATGCAGTTGCGAATGCCGCAGTTGTAGGTCTCGTCTTCGGTGGAGCACCCGCATGGGGCCACGAAGCGCTGCGCCGGGCGGGGCAGATGCATGCGGGCTGACCCACTGGGCCCCCTGGTGGAGCTCCCCACGGGGCCACGAAGCGCTGTGGCGGGTGGGGAAGACGCACGCGGACTGCGACATTGGGACCTTCGGTCGAGCTCCCTACGGGGCCGCGAAAGCTGCACTCGGTAGGGGAGACGCATGCGGGCTACGCCCTTGAGCCCGTCGGTGGAGCTCCCCACGTGGCCGCGAAACGCAGTACTCGGTGGGGGAGACGCATGCGGGCTGCGAAGCTGGGGCCTTTGGTGCAGCTCCCTCCCTGTGGGGCCACGAAGCGCTGTGCTGCGCGGGGGAGGCGCATGCGGGCCGTGCCACTGGGACCTCCGGCGGGGCCCCCTACGGGGCCACGGAGCATTGCACTGGGTGTGGGAGGCGCATGCGGGCTGCGCAATTGAGACCTTCGGTGGGGCCCCCGATGGTGCCACGAAGTGCTGCACTGGGCGTGGGAACCGTGGGAGACGCAGGCGGGCTGCGCCATTGAGACCTCCGGTGGAGCTCCCTGTGGGGCCACGAAGCGTTGTATTGGGCGTGGGAGGCCCACGCGGGCTGCGCCACTGGGACCTGCGGTGGAGCTCCCTATGGGGCCACGAACGCTGTACTGTGCGTGGGAGACGCATGCAGGCTGAGCCACTGGGCCCCTGTGGAGCTCCCGATGGGGCCGCGACACGCTGCACGGGGCGGGGGAAACGCATGCAGGCCGCGCTTCTGGAGCCTTTGGTGGAGCTCCCGATGGGGCCACGAAGCGCTGCATTGGGTGGGGGAGACGCACGCGGGCTAACCCACTGGGACCTTAGGTGGAGCTCCCTACGGGGCCACGAGGGGTTGCATTGGGTGGGGGGAACGCACGCGGGCTGCGTACATTGGGGCCCGCAGTGGGGCTCTCTACAGGTCCACGGAAAGCTCTGCTTGGTGTGGGAGACGCAAGCGGGCTGCGCCACTGGGATTTGGTGTGGAGCTCCCTATGAGGCCACCAAGCGGCGTGCTGGGCGTAGGAGACGCATGCGGGCTGCACCATCAAAACCTTCGACGGAGCTCCCTGTGAGACTACAAAGCGTTGTGTTGGGTGTGGGAGACGCACGCGGGCTGCGCTACTGGAGCCTTCGGCGGAGCTCCCTATGGGGCCATGAAGCATTGCATTGGGTGTGGCGAACGCATGCGGGCTGCGCAAGTGGGACCTTCGGTGGGCGCTCCCTATGTGCCCATGACAAAGTGTAATTGGTGCGAGACGCATGCAGGCTGCGCCACTGAGATTTTATGTGGAGCTCCCCATGGGGCCACGAAGCACTGCACTGGGTGTGGCTCATGCGTGCGGGGTGCAACACTGCGACCTTCGGTGGATTTCCTCATGGGGCCACGAAGCGCTGTACTGGGCGTGGGAGACGCATGCGGGCTGAGCCACTGAGACCTTAGGTGGGCTCCTTTATACTGCCACGAAACGCTGTTTTCTGTGAAGGGACGCATGCGGGCTGCTCCACTAGGGCCTTCGGTGGAGCTCCCTATGTGGCCACGAAGCGCGCTGTACGGGGTGCGGGAGACGCATGCGAATTGCGCCATGGAGATCTTCGGTGGAGTTCCCTGTGGGGCCACGAAGCGTTGTACTGGGTGAGGGAGACGATTGCGGGCTGCGCCACTGGGACTTTAGGTGGAGTTCCTTGTGGGACTACAAACCGTTGTACTGGGTGCGGGAGACGCACGCGGGCTGCGCTACTGGAGCCTTCGGTGGAGCTCCCTATGTGGCCACGAAGCGCGCTGTACTGGGCGCGGGGGACGCATGCGAACTGCGCCATTGAGACATTCGGTGGAGCTCCTTGTGGGACTACAAAGCGTTGTATTGGGTGTGGGAGACGCACGCGGGCTGCGGTACTGGAGCCTTCGGTGGAGCTCCCTGTGGAACCACGAAGCGTTGTACTGGGTGTGGGAGATGCTTGCGGGCTGCGCCACTGTGACTTTAGGTGGAGCTGCCTATGGGGCGACGAAGCGCTGTCATGGGTGTGGAAAACGCATGCGGGCTGTGCCGCTGGGGCCTTCGGTGGAGCTCCCTATGGGGGAGACGCATGCGGGCTGCGCCATTGGAACCTTCGGCGGAGCTCCCTATGGGGCCACGAAGCGTTGTACTGGGTGTGGGAGGCGCATGCGGGCTGCGCCACGGGGTCCTCAGGTGGAGCCCCCTATGGCGAAGCGTTGTGGTGGGCGTGGGAGACGCATGCGCTGAGCCGCCCCGTCCAGTCCGTCCGTTCGAGCTCTCTGCAGCTTTTCTCACGCGCGGTGCTGGGCGTTGCCGCTGTAACTCGTACTCCCCCCCCCCTCCTGCGTCCCCTACGCAGGCGACCTCCAGAGGGCCCTGCTACGACGCCGAGGACGACGCGGCCCACGCCACGGGGTTATAGTCAGGACATAATCACTGGTAGAGTATAACCGCCAGCAGTTTCCGGCAGTGCTTAGGAGAACGCTACCACCAGTGTTCAGGAGAACGCTTCTGCCAGTGTTGATGAAAACTCACTCGCTTCCAGTCCCCGTATAGTTGAGTCTCCGTTCAGACCGTCTGGAGCCACTTGAGCGTGTCTGCGCACGCTGCGCACAACGAGTTTTAGGGTTTTCCCTTGCCACAGGTTCACTTGAGAGTGGCAGAATCAGCACCAGTGCAATCTCACGCGACAATCTGCACACCACATTTTTCCAAATCTGATGCCAGGCCTGCCGTCTTCGCTTTGCACGTGCAACCTACGCGTGGACGTATATAATGGTTCCACCATCTCCATGCTTGCGCCGCGCTGGATGTTCCCCCCCTTTCGGCCCCTCTCCTGCCCCGAGCTCCCGCCCTATGGTTCTTGTAGCTTGGGGCCTCTGTTTCCGTCTTTCGATCGGTGTCCCGGGAGCAGTGCAACTCACGCGCATCCCGGCCATGCAGCTGCACAAGACCGACGGCGCTTGCACTGTGGCAGTCCATGCAAATTTGGGCCACCCCTTCTTGTCAATTGATGCATATGGGTTGGGTACGTCGCAGGGTAATTCACCTCCCCCTTCTATTCCCTTCCTCTCCCCGGGAGGGGGAAAGGGAGGACGACGAGCAGGCGGGGAGGACGAGGCGGAGGAGGAGGAAAGGAGGAGGAGGAGGAAAACGAGGAGGAGGTGGAAAACGAGGAGGAGGTGGAAAACGAGGAGGAGGAGGAGGGGCAGGAGAGCAGGAGGGAGGAGGGGAGGGGGTGGACGAGGAGGAGGGGGAGACAGACGAGCGGGAGGGGGAGGAGAATAAGGAGACGCAGGAGGGGAGGGCGAGGGGACGAGGATACGGAAACCGAGGACGAGGAGGAGGGAACGGAGGCGGGCTAGGAGGAAAAGTAGGAGGAGGAGTAGGAGGAGGGAGCGGGGGATTGGAGGCAACAGCAGGATGATCACAAGGAGGAGGATGGTAAAGGCACCATCTGGGCTCGACTTTCTGTTCTCCTCGTCGAACGGCAGCGACCCGTACCGGCTCCCCACGGAGGGCACGTACCGCCGCACTGCAGGCGACATTTTGCTCGGCCGTGAGGTGCACAACCCCTTCGGGACACCGCCGATGCCAAAGCCGCAGGCGCTGGAGTGCGGAGGAAGAGGAAGGGGGAGGAGGGAGGAGCACAAGGAGGAGGACAAGGCAGAAAGGGAGGAGCAGAGGGAGGGAGGGAGGGCGGGAGGGCGGGCGGGAGGGAGGGAGGGAGGGAGGAGGGAGGAGGAGGAGGAGAGAAGGAGGAGGAGGTGGCGGAGGAGGAGGAGGAGGAGGAGGAGGACGCAGAGGAGAAGAAGGAAGGGAAAATGGGTGGGGAAGTGGAAGGGTAAAAGGGAAGATTATAGGTGGGAATGGTACGGGGGAAGGGGAAGAAGACAAGGAGCACGAGGAGGACAGGGATGCGGAGGAGGGAGCAGACCTGGGCAGAGGCGGCAACAGCAGAAGCCAGGGGAGAGGGAGGGAGGGAGGAAGGACGAGGAGGGACAGCAGGAAGAAGACAAGGGAATAGAGGATGAGGCAGAGGCAACTATAGACAGAGCAGGGAGGAACCGAAAGGGGAGGAGGAGGAGGAGGAGGAGGAGGAGGAGGAGGAGGAGGAGGAGGATAATGTACTGTTGCGATTACGGTGGACACCTGTGGCCAAATGCAAGACTGGGCGCTCACAATATTCGAGCCAGGAACACGTGCGTGCCGTAGTCGACCAGGAGCGCGTCTGACTCCAAGAGTTAGAAACAGTGACCGATGCTCACTAGCAGCTAGCATCAACTCCCACATGATGACAACCAGCGCCACCAAGACTTATACCTATGAAAAATACGCCGCAATGCTGAGGAATACCTGCCTGGGTATAACAAGGATGACACCGCTCAGCCGCCACCCACACGTGCCCACGGGGTCCACAGTCCACGGCGAGACAGCACCGCCCATGTACCAGTATCGAACATCACCAACACCACGCCAAGAAGAAGAAGAGGAGAAAGAACAATAATAATGATAATGAGAGGCCAGGGCCTGGGCCGCCTCCAAGCGGCATTGTAAAATGCCACTGCCAGCCATACATAAAGACCCTGGTTCCTGCCGACATGAAAGGGTCGCTGGGCGGGCCTGGCCACCTTCACCACACACGTACCCGCAGCCGCACGCCGCGGTCGGCCATGATGCACTGAGCTACGATGTAAGCGAGGTAGACGCCGAAGCGCTCCACCAAGTACACTATGACGCCACAGCCCACCATTCCGATGCGCCCCAGGGCAACACAGAACGGCTCCAACTTCGTACTGGTGCTCGTGGCCACAACGAACACTTGCACGCCCCGCAGCTTGCCCACCAGAAAGTCCAGCCCCGTGAGCACGAGGATAATCAGCAGAAACGCGAGCAGCAGCACCATGCTCGCAAAGGTGGAGTCGAAAGAATTCAACCTGGCACCAGGACCCGAACGTGCAGGGAACAGCGCACCACTCCACATGAAGCCCCCGGACGACGGCCGAGCGGCGCTGCCGGGGACCCTTCGAGCCATTGTGGCTTGAAGGAGAGGAGAAGGAGGACGAGGGGTAGGGGAAGGAGAAAGGAGGCGGAGCGTGGAAGAGGAGGGGGGGGAGGGGCGGAGTGAAGAGTTGGGGCAGGAAGTGGAGAGGTGTACGGCGCCAGCGCGCCTGGCGGCGCAGCAGCACCTGGCAAGCCCGACGCCGCCGCGGCGATGGCGGGGGCCACGGCGCTCAAGGGCATGCTGTGATGTTCGCCCCCTCGCGGCGCTGGGCGGCAGCTCGGTGCTGAGGGGCTGCGCGGCCAGGGCCGCGTCGATGCTGTGACCTCCACCCGCGCCGCGCTTCTGTCAGAGGCAACGTTAGGGGGGGCAGGTGCAAGGGGGAGGAAAGGACTTCCTGTGGCCCGTTGGGGCTTTCTGTGGCCCGGCGTTCTGGGGCTCCGTCGGGGCTTTCTGTGGCCCAGTGGCCCGGGTGGGGCGTTCTGTGGCCCAGCCGCCGCTTGTGAACACCACGCCCCAAAACACCATACGACGCATGTCAATTTCAACCTACGAGACACAGACACGACACGCACGTAAACCTTCCAGACACAGGTACGACACGCACTTAAACCTTAGAGACACATACACAATACGCATTTGAACTTTAGAGACACGGGCACGACACGGATTTAAATGGTGGAGACAGACACGACACGCATTTAGATCTGTCCAAGACGCCCCGTATTGATGTCCATGGTTGTTCGTACCCACTGGGGAATTCACCGAGCATAGATCGATCTATTGACTGATGTTGTTCAGGAAAGTGTTGGGAATCTGGCTTGTGGTATTGCTTGAGATATGGCTTGACGTGTTGTTTACAACATTGGTGTTTACATTGTTTGGAGCATGTTTGCAACACATGTTCATGTATTATGTAGGCTGTTGATTCGGATGCTGTTCATACTT